GGAAAGTGTAAGGGGCAGGTTTCTGGGATATACCCTTTGGGTGGTTGATGATGCATGGAGGGGATTGGACCCATGGCAATGAGATGTTATATGATGGAATGAACACAAAACTAAAGTTCTCCCATGTAAACTATCATATAATTCACAATAAAACATTAAAAAAAAAGAAGATGGAAGGAATACCCAGTCACTCTGCCACAGATGCTATGTGATCAAGAACCAATGGTATGGAAAGAAGAAGACCAAGCTGTATCTGTGGCATTGGAAAAAGATTCGGCTCCAGGAGTTGAGAGAATTTAAATACAAATGTTTCAATAAACTGATGCAGCGCAGGGAGTGTTCATGCATTTATATCAAGAAACTTGGAAAACAACTACTTAGACAATGGATTGGAAGAGATGCATTATTTGCGCTCATTCCAAAGAAAGGTGAAATGCAGAAATCATCAGACAGTATCAGTAATAACTTATGCAAGTAAAGTTTGCTGAAGATAATTCAAAAAAACTATAAATCAAATCAGATTACATTATGGGAGATGATTGCTGTTAAGTGCCATCAAATTGGTTCCAACTCATAGAAACCCTTTATAGGGTTTTACAAGTAGCAGTTGGTAAGTTTGAACTGCCAACCTTGCAGTTCAAACTGACCTTGCAGTCTAGTGCTTTATCCCACAGTACCATACCAGTAGATGATTACAACATATCAACTCTCAGTACACTATGGGAGATGATCACATCACAACATTGAGTAAATTTTGGAAGACAATCACATTCTATAAAGTCTGATTACATGATGTGAACTGATTATATCATATTGTCCTTGATCAAATTATGGAAGATGATTGCATTATGTTACCTAAGATAATGTTATGGGAGATGATTACAGATATCAACATTGATTAAATTATAGGAGGTGATTATATCACGCCATTTCTAATTGCATTATCAGGATCGACTGGTTAGATCGATAGTGATTAGATTATGGACAGTGATTAGATTGTATCGGCTCTGATCACTTTATGGGTGATGATTCCAGCATATCAACTCTGACTATTTACTGTGACATCATCACACACCATGTCTGGTTACATAATAGAAGATATTCACATCACAACACCAGTGATAAATTCATGTGAAGTGACTGCATCACAATGACTCTGGTCACACTATGGGAAGTAATTAAAGTATAACAACACTGACTGCATTATAGAAGACAATTAGATCAGATCACTCTGATTACATTATTAGAAAGTATTCCATCAAATCACCCCTGGTTACATTTTGGGTGATGATTATATTTAGTCACCTCTGATTACATTATGGGAGATGCTCGCAAACAACATTGATTAAATTATGGAACATCACATGAAAGCAAATCTAATGTCATTATGTGATATGATTACATCATATTATGCTGATTGAGTTTGGAACATGATTATTACATCAGGTCACCAATCATTACAATATGGCAGATTATTAACTTATGTTGACATTGAATAATTTATGAAAAGTGATTACATCACACCACTTTCTGATTATATTTTGGGAGATGACTACATAAGATCAGCAATGAGAAATTATGGATGATCATTAGATCACATTACCTCTGACCACATTATGGGTACTTCTGATTGTTGTTGTTAAGTACTGTGGAGTCGGTTCCAATTCATAGTGACCCTGCACAGGGTTTCCAAGGCTGCAAATCTTTATGGGAGCAGAAAGCCTCACCTTTCTCCTGTGGAACAGCTGGTAGTTTCAAACTGCCGACCTTGAGGTTAGCAGCCCGATTCACAACCATTACGCTAGCAGAGCTCCTTCCACTTCTGATTACATTATAGGAAATGATCACATGACAATACCGATGATTACATTATATGAGATACTTGTGTCACAGCATCTCTGACAACATTTTGGGAGTTTAGTACATCATATCAACATTGATTACATTATGGGAGATGATCGGTTCAAAATAAGGAAAGGTCAGGGTTATATTCTTTTACCATATTTATTCAATGTGTATGCTGAGCAAATAATCTGAGAGGATGGATTATAGGATGAAGAATGTGACATCAAATTGGAGGAAGACTCATTAACAACCTGAGATATACAGATGACACAACTTTGCTTGCTGTAAGCCAAGAGGATTTGAAATACTTACTGATGAACATCAAAGACTTCAGTATGGACTGGACCTCAGTGTTTCAAGAAAACAAAATCCTCACATCTGAACCAATAAATAACATCACGATGAACGGAAAAATGTGAAGTTGTCAGACTTCGTTTTGATTGGATCAACAATCAACACACAGAAGCAGCAGTCAATAAATCAAAAGACATAGAGTATTAGGCAAATACGTTGCAAAAAAAACCTCTTTAAGTCATTCAATTGTCTCATATTGGACAATGAATAAGGAAAATCTTAGTGAGGCACCATGTATTTGAGTTATGGTGCTAGCAAAGAATATTGACAGTATCATGGATTGTCAAAAGAACAAAGAAATATGTCTTGGAAGAAGTATAGCCACAGTGCTCCTTATAAGCCAGGATGGCGACATTTAATCTGGTGTGGCTCTGTGGGCTAATGCATCAGACTGCAAAGTCATTTGAACTGCAAAGTTGGTGGTTCAAGCTCACCAGCTGCTCCTTGGAAACCCTACACAGGGTCGCTATGGGTCAGAATCAACTCAATGGCACTTAACAACAACAACAACTATGGACACAACATCAAGAAGGATCAATCCCTGGAAGACATCATGCTTGCAAAAGTAGAGGGTCAATGAAAAAGAAGAAACCCCTCAACGAGATGGAGTAACACAGTGGCAGCAACAATGGGCTCTAACGTAACAGTAACTATGAGGATAGCACAGGACCAGGCCGTGTTTCATTGTGTTGTGCACAGGATCACTAGGAGTTGGAACTGACTTGAGGGCACTAAACAACAACAGACTAATGCTCCAATAAGCTTCTGCCCTGAGAGCCCTTTAAAACTTCTACTTTCCTAGACAGTTTATCATCTGTACCCTCACTTCTTACCTTCAAAATGATTTTTATGTTAACAGTCTTTGTGGTTACTCATGTCCTTGACAATTCTCATCCTATGAGATTCAAGAAAGCAAGCCATATTCTTGGCTTTCTGTTCCCACATATAGTCAGCCTCCTCATCTTATCCAGGACTTCGCTTTTGCAGTTAATTTCTTCCTCCCTCAGACTATCCCTGTACCTCACCGGTGAACAAACTCACATTAGCACCACTGCACTTTAGCTTAGTGGGTTACAAGTTGGGCTGCTAAACACAAGGTCAGAAGTTCAAATCTACTAGCCATTCTACAGGAGAAAGCAGAGGCTTTCAGCTCCCATAAAGATTTATAGCCTTGAAAACTCTATGCAGGGTCGCTGCAAGTCGGAACCAGCTCAACAACACATAACCATCACCACCACCACCACCACCCTTCAGGTAGCTTCCCTTTCTCTCTTCCCTCCACAGCAATATCTCTTCTGAGTCTTGACTGTACTTATTACCTGCAGTATCCAGCTCCTGTTTTCTCCTCGATCCACTCCATGTGTTTCTCATTTCCCTAAAACATTCTCAACTACTTACATCTTGTCAAAGCCAATGGTCAACTGGCTATTCTCTTACCTAGCATCCTCCCTAGGCATCATGGTACACACTTCTCTTGTTTTCTTCCTCTCTCACTGGCTATCCCTTCTCCGATCATACCATCAAGTTTAGCTGGCTACCTCTCTGGCATTGGTTAGGTACATGTCCTCTCTGTTTTTGACATACAGGTGGCTTCAAAAAGTTCATGAAAAAATTTTATTATCTTTTAATTCCATATTCTCACAAAAATCCCTTTGTATTCTTGAAATCCCATCCATTCCTGTGGATTTCAATAACCTCTTACTATCTACCAATGTTGTTGTTTCTGTTTCACAGAGTTAGTTCTGATTCATAGAGACCCTGTATAGTTGCCGAGGAGTGGCTGGTGGGTTTGAACTGCCAACCCTATGGTTAATAGCCCAGTGCTCATTCTACAACGTCATACTAGGACTCCTATAGCTCTTCCATTTTTACTTCTAGCCTAGAATGCTACCTGACCATGTTCCTGTTTCCGTGCCTCTTCCATTCCTTAACCCCCTTTACGTCTTCAAATCTACTTGGTCAGTCACCAAGGTCATCAGCTTTTCATCTTCTTAATTTCTATCAACCTCAAGCAAATCAAAGAGAAAGTAGATGGTACAGAAGTGGGAAGACTAAAAGAAATCCAACAACAATTGTAAAGAACAGACCACAATCTTCATGACAAAACTTACGAATAATTCTAATAAGATTTCTAGAATGTTAATGTCCATTTAATGTAATGTTCATTTAATTTAACATATGTCAAAATTCTCAATTATTAAAACTAATTTGCTATGAAATCTGATTTATTTCTTATATTTGCAGGGTTTTAATAAAAAGGACTTACCCTAAATAGTAACCCTGCCAAGCTCTGGGCAAACAAGTCCTTTATTTGTTTTTCCTTTGGCTTCTGCATGACAGCTTCTGTTATCCTGAGTAGTATTTGCAACATCTGTTCCCTGGACCACCCAAAACAAAAGCTTGTATTATTAATCATATCTCCAGAGCACTTTAATTATAGGCACAACAAGTTAAATTAAGAATTTAGAAATATTAATAATCATGTGTTACTCAAAAGTATTAAATATCTGAATGACAATTACATAATTAATACCATATATTAACAAAACACAGGAGAAAGATGAGGCGTTCTGCTCCCGTAAAGACTTATACTCTCGGAAACCCTGTGCAGGGTCACTATGAGTCAGAACCGACTCCACAGTACTTAACAATAACAACATTACCAAAATAAGCTACCCTATGTTACAACTGTTTCAAAAATATGCCCACAAAGACTGTCAATAGGCAAGATAAAACAGGAACCACCAGCCTGATTAGCAAATAAGGTAGAATTTTCTCCAACTTGTGATATCAGATAGGAACTCTCAGAACAGCTGAAGCAAGTTTGAATTATTTGGAACTCTTCAGTTTTCACATCTATTATTAAACTTGTTTGTAAGGTCTCCCTACCTATCTAGGTAACAGAAAAATAATGACTTTGTGGTCATTATATACAGTCAGCATCACAGAACAATTGATTTTACGGAAAAGGGATTTTATTGAATAAGTCTTGTGAAGTATCTAAAACACTGCAGTGAAAACAGCAGCATCACTAATTATGAGCTATTTAGAATAGCTAAAGCACACTTTGTTTCTCTCAGCTAACTGGTATTCCTATCAAAGTGCTAAACTCACTTTTTTTCCCCTCTGGACACCATGGAAACAGAGAATGCATTATCTTTTATCTATTTGTTCTGTGAAGTAAATCACCCTGGTTCCTTTTAGCTTTTCCTCAGAGGTCTTATACACTAATTATTTACTCTCTTTATAATTTTCTCGTTGGCCTTACAGCTAGCTCCTTAATGATAAACTCATCTAATCCAAGTCAGATAATAAGATCTTTATAGTTTCTTTATACTTTCCTCATATCTCAGCACATCAGAACAGTACGATAGATCCTAACATTTTACAATGTTGAATTTCATTAACTTTTTATGATATAATGACCTGGATGTAGGACAAGCACTGGGCTGCTAACCAAAAGGTTGGCAGTGCAAACCCACCAGCCACTCCTCAAAAACTTTATACAGGGTCGCTATGTGTTAGATCAATTCAATGGCACTTAAACAAAAACAAAGGGATATTTTCTGCCCTATTTGTAGCCTTCGCCAAGTTCTCTGTTAGCACATATCCACAATGAGCTCTCTCTTATTTGTTTGCTTATTTCTATATACTTCCATGAATTCTGGAACCATGAAGAGGAAAAGAAATCAGTCACGTGAGTTCTGGGCAAATGTGTGTGTACTCTGAAGCAGCACTGAGCTGGAGGCTGTTTACGTACACCATGTGGGTGCCTAGTCCCTGTCATGCTCACATTATGTGTTGCTTAAGTAAACAAAAGCAATCCCTTCCATACAACATGTCCATAATTACAAAAAGGGACAAAAAATTTTCAAATAAAAACTGAGTCATGGGAAGTGGTGGAAACTCCAAGACATGATCCTTAAACACCCTTCAGGCCTAAAACTCAATTCATCCCAGAGGTGAACAATAAAGATCAGGGCAGTATGCACTCATTAAAACAATCAACCATTTGAGATCAAAAGGGTAGAATCTGCTCAGAGATAAAACTCAGAAGGCAGAAAGGGATAGAAAAGGACACAGAAAAAAGGAAGAAGTATGGAAAGAGAGGCCATACTAAGGGGACTGCAATCAATGCCACAAAACAAAGTGTGCATGCTTGCAACCATAGTCTTGGAAGACACCATGGTCAATTGGCATAACACAGCCTACAAAGACAATGTTCTACGTCTTACTGTGGTGAGTAGTGGCTTGAATCCTAAAAGCTCATAAGCAGCCATCTAAGATGGTCTTTCCTCATCTGGAGCAAAGAAGAATAAAGGAAATAGAAAATGCATGAAAACAACTAGTCCAAAAAACTAACCACAATCAAACATCTTCCACAACCCTGAGACCACAAAAGCAATACAAACTGTGATGCAAAGGACCCTAAGGAGTCCGGGGGGGGGGGGGGGTACTAATGTACAGTGGTGTGGGTGGCCTGAGTACAGACACAGTGATCACTAAGAGGACCCTGCCAATCAGCAGGGCGAGCAGTGAGGGTTGCTTCTTTGCACTAGGGTGTGGCTGAGTGAGAGGAACAAAAGAAGATTTGAGAGCACACCTGCTAGATTTGGAAAAGAATCTAAAAGTAATGTGCTTTGTTCTAATTGTTGAAAACACCTATTAAGTTGGAGTGATTGGTAACATTCATTATTAGAAAAGGCCTTTAGGAGTAGCATTTCCAGGAGTATTATAAATACAAAATAACCAAAAAAGAATGAAGAATGGAAAAGGAAAAACTTTGCATGAACATATTTCAGTGCTGCCACTATATTTCTGATTGCACTGTTCTTGGTTACTTTGAGGTTGTTGTTATTGTTAAGTGCTGTTGAATCAGTTCCAACTCATAATGACCCTAAATAGGATTTCCAAGAAGCAGCTGATGGGTTTGAACTGCCGACCTTGTGGTTGGCAGATCCTACAGTGAGAGACCAGGAGTCTACTTTGGGAATGTTATCACTTAAAATAAATGTTTTTCCAAAATGAATTTGAAACTTAAAGTTAAAAAAATCAATTTCTAGTATTTGGAAACAAATGACAAACTCTTATGGGCTCATGAAGTCCTGGTGTGGTGTTGTGGGTTAATGTACTGAACTGCAAAATCAGCTTGAACCACAAGGTCGGTGGTTCAAGCTCACCAGTCTCTCCTTGGAAACTCAATATAGGGTCGCTATGGGTTGGAACCGACTTAACAACACATAATAACAGCAACAAAATGGGCTCATGAAGAATATTTTCAAACACAGTTACTACTATACCACAAGGAAAAATTGACTATTAAGTCATATGACTGCTGTTGTTAAGTGCTATTGAGTCGATTCCAACTCACAGCAACCCTGTATAGGGTATCCAAGAAGTGGATGGTGAGTTCAAATCACCAACCTTGAAGTTCAAACTGACCTCGTGATCCAGTGCTTATCCTACAACGCCACACCAGGACTCCTAATTACCATTCATTCAAGAACATTTTCAGGATCAGTAATGAAAATAAATGAACTAACAAGGTACTAGGTACTTGTACCTTCATCATAATTCACAGGAACTATTGCTACAGATTATCATTTTATTGTTAACTTTATAAAGCCATTTAACACATTGATACATTAACATTTTAACTGTTATGTTGCAAAGTCAAAGTATGTGTTTTTACAATAGTAACTAACTACAAATATTTAACTTACCATGTCTTTTGATTCATTGTAAGCTCCATTATCATGCGCCTAAAAATAATTAAAACAGCTTTACAAGCATCAACTTGTTCTTTCAAGAGCATGGGAACTTCAGCACAGGGTTCCAGCAAAAATACATTTGCAGCGTTTGTCAAAAATACCTTAAAACCAATATTGGAAAATGGAATTAAACATGCCAATCTGAACAAATTGTGCTTAAAGATCAGGTTATTAACTTCACTCCACTATTAAATAGCTTTTGAGTTGTTTCAGGGCAGATTTTGTTTCTTTAAGTGGTACCAAAATATACACAAGATTTTTTTTAGTTCACCCTTTGTTGTTATTGTTAAGGGCCGTCAAGTCAGTTCTAACTCATAGTGACCTAATATAAGGTTTCCGTGAAGTGGCTGGTAGGTTTGAACCACTAATCTCTCAGTTAGTAGTCCAGTGCTTATCCTATAGGCCCAGAGGAACACTTAAAATACTAAGACACAAGAAAGGCCTTTCACTAGGAAAATCAAATCGACCATTATATACAAATGTTGCAACTTTAGAAATTTCACAACTCAGGAAAGTTTGTGAAGACTTCAGTTTGACATCAACCTCTCCACAAAAAACAAAAAGAAGGTGAGTGGTAGAGATGGGAGAAAAAGATAGAATCATTGTCTCTGACTGAGAAACTTTGGGGTGGAGAAAAAGAAGAAAATAGCCATAAAGAACTCTGTTACTATCACCAAATTTTCCAGTGTAAGAATCCTTTGCTGAGAAGAGGAGAGAGCGGGATCCTATCCAGAAAAGCAGTGAGGCCAGAGATGGAGGCAGAGACGATGCCGTGGAGAGATGGAGCAGCTGGGGACTTTAGACCCAGAGAGGGAGAGGGGCTGTGTGTTGATGACTGGGGGGCAGGCTTGTAGGGTATACCCTTTGGTTGGTTGATGATGCATGGAGGTGACTGTAACCATGACAATGAAACTATATATGATAGGATGAATGCAAAGCTAATGTTGTAAACTATCACATAATTCACAATAAAACATTGAAAAAAAAAAAAAATCCCTTGTGGACAGTAAACATGACCAGCACTCCAGAACAATGGAGCTCCAAGAAATAGATCAAACTCCATGATTGACAATGCTCATCTTCCAGCAGTGTTTTTAAATATAAAAAACATATTATAAAGTAAAATATAAATCGAAATAAATTCTTAAGGTAAAATCTGAGATTTCAAAAATTATTTGCATGACCATTCTATGCTCTACTCCAGACTTTCATGACCCAAGTTCACTGTCCCATCATTCAGGATACTTGAGGAGAAAAATGGAGAAGCATTAATCTAAGCTATGATTTGGTAAGTTACTGGTTAGGGGCACTACAGTAAAATAGCACTGTGCTACTATTTACATGGACTCCTGGTGTGGTGATGTAGGATAAGCACTGGACTGCTGACCAAAAGGTCGGTGGTTTAAACCCACAGTTGCTTTTGTAAACCCTATAAGGATCACTATGAGCTAGAGTTGACTTAACAACACTTAACACAAAACCATGATTTACATACATGACACTGTCTTCCATCAGACAAGGATATTTTGAGTTGTCCAATCTAGTGACAGGAATATAGATCAGTTCAATCGATGTTGCTATTGGCTGCCATTGAGTTGATGCTGACTCATGGAGACCCTACGGAAAGCTAAGTTTCCTCTTAGGCGTCTGTTGTGTTTAACTGTACAAACTCAGAGGATTTTGAAGCAAGAAGTCACTCTTTCACTCATTAGATAGAATTCATAAATACTTGTATCAAAATAAATGTATAGACTGACCAGAGAAATTAAAATTAACATATTCAAAAGTCAAGCGAGTGAGCCAAAATGTTGACAGCCTCTAAGATTTAGGAAGTATCTTGTGCAAGATTTAAAAGTTCTCATATTTCCAATTGTCTACGAAGAATCACTAAACAAGTTGTTGTTGTTAGGTGCTGTTGAATCAGTTCTGACTCAAAGTGACCTTATGCGTAACATAATGACACATTGCCTAGTCTTACACCATCCTTATAATCACTGTTACGTTTTGAGTCCACTGTTGCAACCACTGTGTCATTCATCTCCTTGAGTCTTCCTTTTTCCACTGATGGAGCACTTTATCAAGCATGATGTCCTTGTCCTTGACTTGGCCCTCCTGACAATGCAGTCCAATTACTAAATATGTATTAAATAGTTGATAACAGTTGACAAATATGATGACTTGATTAATAATTTCTAACTTTCACATAAAAAAAGAAAATAACTAATTGACTTTATTAAACTATCGTAGAAAATTAGTTTCAATTACTGTTTTTCTAAAAATATGCTATACGTGATATTCTGCAATACACAGCCTTTAAATAAAATGAATTTGTTTTCGTGAATTTGAAACTTTTATATGTTCCCAAGTGAAAGTTTTGAGTCTTCATATATTGTACTTCTTTCAGTTTAGTTTTTAAGAAAACATCAAAATGCCAACTATAGGAATTTAATACCTTTTTGGAACCACTGTTGTTGTTGTTAAGTGCTGTTGAGTCAGTTTGGTTCCACAGTGACCCTGTATATGGTTTCCAAGGAGCGGGTCCATTAGGTAAAAATAAATCAATAAAACTAATATGTCCAACAATTCTTATAAAGCCAACCATCTTATGTTAGTTTTATAAGAATAGTTATAAAACTCAATTTAGCCACTTTTTTTCTAATGAAACAAACAAAGGACAAAGGTAATGGATATAATGAAAACAAAGCAAGTATTTAAAACCAAACTAAATGCTCTTTCAAAACTACAGCATTATCAAATAGAAAGCATTTCTCTTAGAAAATTCAAGTACATGTAACTTATCCTGTCAGAAAACAAGCAGTACTAATAGTCTTTGAACCCAAGAATAACTAGCAATATCAGTCTCCAGCTGCTCCCCATCACCAATAAGACATCAGTATGGGCTGGCACTATAGGAAAAGTACTGAGCCTCAAGGTTGGTTTGAACCAAAAGGTCCGCAATTCAAACTCAGCAGCCGCTCCTCAGAAACCCTATACATGGTCGCTGTGAGACAGAACCAACTCAATGGCATTTAACAACAACAATCTTCTCTAAAGGTGTGTATTGCTGAGGAACACAGGGCAAGGGATCCTCCAGGCATTTCTCTAGTTAACACAGGTTAACTTATGAACTATACAAAAGTTCCTCAAGTAAAATCCTCTTGATTTTAAAATTAATTTTAAATTTTTGCAGTTTCAATTAAAAATGAGAAAATATATTAGTTATAATATACAGAATTCATTAACTTGGGAAGAAAATGGAAACAATTATAATGAACCCGTCAAGAGAATGAAGGCAGAACACAGCATCATCAAGAGCAATGTTCTCCCGACTCCATACTGGGCCTCTTACCTGGGAGGCCTAACTGGACACAGCTATGACTTGGGGAACAAGGAAAAGAGGCATCTACGTTTTTACTTACACTCCCAACCCCCAATTTTTTAAAAAAAGTTTCATTGTGAATTGAGTGATAGTTTACATGGGATAACATCAGTTTTATACTCATCCTATTACGTTTTGTTTCATTGCAATGATTACAATCCCCTCCATCATTCTACAGTATTTGTTCTATTCTGTTTTTTGGGGATGTTTTTGTTTTTTTTTTGAATGCACACAACAATACTCAGGAATATATATATATAAAATCACTTCAACAGCAAAAGGCAAAAGGGCACTGTAGAGAGGAAATTCTGAGGTCTGGGAAGGTTAAGTGATGAGTCAAAGTCCAATGTTCCCATTGATAGCAGTCCTATCTCATATACTCATATTCATTCATGTAAATATCTAAAAACTACAACAGTCTTCATTGCTTTTCATAGACATTTGGTAAAATGCATAACTATTGCCTTAAATAGAAAATTTCCAAGGGAAACAATAATACTCATAACCCTGTACAATCAGCAAGCTTGTGTTGTATCTACCCACAAAGATACTTTTAAGACGTAAATATCAGTCATTTCACATTCACTCCATATTAATTCTGCTCAAAAAATTACAACCACTTCTTATCTCCTTTGACTAAAAACAAAGTCTTTAACAATTATATGTGGGAAGTTAGGAAGAAAACTTGCAATGAAAATTCAAAAGCTGTTCACTGAGCTATTGCTACATTTACATGATTTTATTACAATGACACCTCTGGCCTGGCTATGTATACCTGCAGCATAACCTGAGCACCAGCTCTCACGTTCTTACTTTCCTCTTCTACTACACAACCTCTGTTTACAGCACTTGTGAAGGAGTATGTTCGCCCCCAGCTGGAAGACCGCTTATGACCGGAACTTTCTGAGGAGACCTTTAGAAAAGAGCAGCCAGTTAACAGAGGAGATAAATCACAAATTCAGAACTTAACTTCTTACACTAAGCAGAATTCGTAAGAATACAGGTTCTAAGAGGGCAAGTCCTTTTACTGTTTTTTTCACCATTCTACCTCTACTAGTACCTAGACTAGTAACACATCTTTAAAACTATGATGGCTCTAGAACTTTAAAACTATTTACTTACCTATTCAATTCTGAGCTCATGACTAGTTATTAAAATAATGTTATCAACATTGAAATTTTTAAATTTTAGAGTATTCCTATTAAGTAGTATATATGCATTCATTACATGTATTTTAAATTGTCTATTGCTAATTGCTAATAAATATCCACTTTTAGAATTAACTTATCAGACATTTCAAAATAGTATGCCAGAGATATAAATATGATGTAATTTCTTTTGGTATTTCAGGAAGCTGTCCCACTATCATTTTACATTTATCCCACCTCTAAAAGATCAAATCGAATAGTGCCCACTCTAGAGGGCAATGTCCAGCCCTATAGTGAGGTCAAAAGGGGAAGTAGCACTTGTTCTTTAATTAACAGTTATTTCAACTGTGGACCAGTACAGTCCAATGCACAAGTCTGTCAAAACATTCTAAGTTTCTCTAATGCTGTTTATTTAAACATGCCAAGAACAAGACAGTGACATTTTTAGTCTCACTCAAAGACATGAAATATATGATGGCTTATGATACAACTCTCATACAAAAATTAACAACAAAGCTATAACGTGCATGTGACCCTAGCTTGATGGTTTTCAGATGGTGCTCTTGCTTAGAAAGCTGACAGATCCTCACAGAACTGAGCAACCTGAAAGCAGCAGATATGATATATAGAGAGAGTCACTCTGTCTATGTCCCACTGACTGGGACCTTTGATTGAGCTGGCATACTTTGCTAAAATATATGTACTCCCAACTCAAACGACAAGTGATAACAAGTGATAAAATAATTAATTACCTCCTTGCTATCAGTCTCTGATAATCCTAATTTTTCAGCATTTTCTTGGGCAATATCTTTTTTATCTGGCTCCTCCATGAAGACAGGCTTGTCCTGGAGGATCCACTTCCTGTACACTTGTACTACTTTTCTTGTCACAGCTATGTCACAGGAAGGCAGCAAAAATGCCTAAAAGGAAAAAGGAAAATTCTGTTGGACCTCACACAATTCAGATCACAACAGAGTCATACATAACAGACCATGCAAAATGACCATCACTGCTTTCAGATTTTCCTTTGAAACCTGTGAATACATTATTCAGGGTTATAAATCTTTGTGTGCGACAAAAATTTACTGAAGAAAAAAATTTAATTCTCATAATTGGAACAGAAAACATAAAGCCATTTATAAATGACTTCTATCAATATTCTTTTCCACAAAAATAGCTAAAATGCATGCATCTATAGATAATATAAGGGAACTCTGTTTGCGTGATGATTAAAGTACTCAGCTGTTAGCCAAGAGGTTGGCAGTTTGAACGCACCAGTGCCTCTGCGGGAGAAAAGATGTGAAAACCTGCTCCTGTCAAGACTGTTGTTGTTAAGTGCCATAAAGTCAGTTTCAATTCATAGTGACCCTATTTAGGGTTTCCAAGGAGCAGATGGTGGGTTTGAATCAGTGACTGTGTGGTTCGCAGCCCAGTGTTGAACCTATATAGCATCACACACTTGGAATCCCTAGGGAGCAATTCTGTTCATCCTATAGGGTTTCTATGATTTGGAATTAACTCGACAGCACTCAGTAAAACAGACAGTTTAACTGGCTATATAAAGTAAATTAATCATACAAAAGGGAATGTTCTCAAAAAATAAGGACTAATCTGTAAGATAACAGACATACTAGTACAGCCAGTGATAGCCAACTGGCACAATTCTTCACAACTCCATGTTTGGTGATGGCACCTTAGGAATTTGGGCTGACCATGCTAGGAAAATTTAAACTATGAAAATACACATAAGGACTTGTTCCCTCTCCTTCCCTCTCAAATTCTTTTTAAGAATTGGTTGTTCAACATTTACCAACACACCACTGGGTACACCTCCCAATGTTATAAAGAGCCATTAGCTAGTTATATCATTATATGAACTTTTTATTTATATGAGCTTTTAGCATTAAAGATCCCCCTTATATAGCTGCACACACAAAACTCTGATTTAGTGCAGTAAGAATCCAAAAACATAAACCAAAATTTAAAGTAGAAATTACTTTACCCTCTTGAGTATTAGTTTTAAGGACTATTTCTGAATGAGATATGAACTAGGATAGGTACTTTACCAGTACCTTAACACTCAGGTGAATGTTTCAACTTATACAAGAAAATCGAAGGCAGAGAACACCTGACATATATTCCCAGGGTTACAAAGCAGGTTGGTGACAAATCCAGATCTTAAGCTTAGGTTTCAGAGATTTGTTTTAATACCATCTTTAAGATTCATGCTATAGGATCCAGTTGTAGACTGATTTCACTGTAGAGAGGGTACATATAATGAATTTCCTTAACAGAGGAGTTATAACAAGATTGCAAATATTATTAATATAACAAATAACAAATACTCTGAATTGTATCTTAAAAAGATCAATACATGAATATGACAAAGCATAAAATAATTATCCCATTCTAATGTTTTCCCAAAAGTTTGCTATATTAATTTTGTTTGTTTGTTTTGGGGTTTTTTTTTTTTGACCCTTCAGTTTTTATTGTGAATTGAGTGCTAGTTTACACGAGGGAACATCAGTTTTACATTCATCGTTTCATTGCAATGATTATAATCTCCTTTGTGCATCTTCATTCAACAGTATTTGCTTCTATTCTCTCTGTTTTTTTGTTTGGAGGTTTTTTTGGCGGGGATGGGGGTGTACACAAAAATACTCAGGAATATATAACCATTTAAACAACCAAAGGACACATTCTGCAAGTCTGCCTCCTGGCCTCCAGCAACTGGCTGCCAGCACACAGCCTTTCTCTTTCCGTGAGTCTAGAGTCCTCAGCTGCTCTCTCTCTCTCCATGCCCTCATCTCTGGTGTCACTATGGATAGGGTACCACATTTCACTAGTGCTCTTCTCCCTTTATTGTTCCTAGGACTGTAAGATTAACTACTGTTCCTGGACAGTAAGATTAACTACTCACCTATTTTTGTTTACAAAACTTCTACCTTTACAGTTGTGACAGTCACAATTAGTCATGATAACAATTACTCACTATTGAATCATAAGAATCTTATCCCTATATCTCCTTTCACCAGACCCATCTAGACAAAATGAAAAATATTCAGTGGGGATTCTACCTTCCCCCACAAACTCTGAAACTAAACTCCCTCTTGAAAACTTGTAAGTCAGTCACTTTGTGCCTTTATAGCCCCTCCCATTTTAGGTATCCAATGTCTAAGTTGCCCGTCCCTATCAACCCTGTATACAGAGGGGATAGGATTGATCTTGGACTACATTAGTTTTTACACATTAAAAAAAGTTTTAAATTGATTCAGGACTCCCATCATGCATGTGCGGTTGGTTCCACTTGATAGTATTCAAAAAATCCAGTAGGCTCTGTTCACTTTCCTTCATTCTTTTTTCTTTTCCTCAGATTTGTTCATTTCAATTGAGCAATACTCAAGCTTTCTGATTCTTTGTTCAGCCGATCAACGAGCTCCTCTAAGAATCTAGGTACAGCCTTGGGATAGTCTTTGTTATATGGCCTCCTCCCGACCTATCTCTGGGTTTACAGTTTGTTATAGAAACATAAAGGTATTGGCAGAATTATTTAGCTCAAATACAGAATTTTCCCTCCCCATGTAAGAATTTTTCAAAAATAAAATCTCAAAACAAATTAAAGGTAGCATACTTGTTGCTAGGTCCCAGAAATACTGTCAAGTCCTGTGTCGTCCCCACAAACATTGTTGTGCTTGATCCCATTACTATAGCCACTGTTTCAATCTGTCTCACTGAGACTCTTCTGCTTTTTCACTCACCTTCTACTTGACCAAGCATGCTGTTCTCACCAGGGACTGATGCCTCCTGGTAATATTCCCAAAGTTACTAAGATGAAATCTTACAATACTCACTTCCAAGGAACATTCTGGATATACTTCCAGACTCACTCATTCTTCTGGCAGTTCAATGGCATATTCAATAGTCTTCACAAATGCCGTAATGCAAATGCATCTTTTTTTTTTTTCCTTATGTTTTATTGTGTATTGTGTGATAGTCTAATTGGGGGAACATTAGTTTTACATTCATTCCATCATACATCGTCTCATTGCCACAGTTACCATCCCACCCATACATCATCGTCCAATGAGAGGATATACCCTACAATCCCGTCCCCCCTCCCCTCATGGTCCTCAGCACACAGCCCTTCACCCTCTCTGGATCCCTAGTCCCCAGCCACTCCATCTCTTCGCGTCGTCCTCTCTCTTCACATCATCCTCTCTGTCTCAGTCTCTGTTCTCACTGTTCCTCTGGGTGGGGTCCCACTCTCCGATCTTCTCTATTGATGGTCCCAGGGCCCTGCAATCCTAGACTGAAAGGTTAATCACTCCCCGCCTTGCTATAAAATGTCCACCTTTACATTACCAGTCCTCACACTCAGTCCTGGTGACAATCATTCACCCTTGCATCCCAAGGGACCCATCCGCAGCAAATGCATCAATTCTTATTTTGTCTTCCTTATTCATTGTCCAGCTTTTTCTTACAAATTAGGCCAACTGAAAATGTCATGGCTTGGACTGGGCACACTTTAGTCTTCAAAGTGATATCTTTGCTTTTTAACCTATAAAGAGATCTTCTGAAGCTGATTTGCCGAATGCAGCATCATTTTGATTTCCTGACTGATGCTTCCATGGGTATTTGTGGATATAAGTAAAATTATCTCAGTTCACCATGATGTTGCTTATTGGCCCAACTGTGAGAATTTTTATTTTCTTAACATTGAGATACAATCCATACTGCAGTTTGCAGTCTTTGACACTCATTAGAAAGTGCTTTTCCTGTTCAGCAAGAAATATCTTTCACCCGCATATCGCAGTCTTCCTCAAATCCATACGCCACATTATTCTTTATGTAGTTCAGCTTGTCATAGTATTTGCTCAGCATACAGATTGAATAAGGTATAGTAAAAGGATAGAACCCTGACAAATACCTTTCTCGATTTTAAACAATGCAGTAACTCTTTGTTCTGTTTGAATGAAGGGCTCTTGGTCTATGAAAAGATTCTGCATTAATACAAGTAAATCTTCTAGAATTCCCATTATTCTCAATATTATCCATAATTTATTATGATTCACACAGCCAAAGGCCTTTGCATAGTCAAATATACATAAATATAATAAAAAATACACAACACAAAAAACATCTTGTTGGTATTATCTGCTTTCAACCAAGATTCATCTGATATCAGCAATGATACCCCTCATTCAGAGCATATTTCAGTCTTATCTGACATTCATTTTCTGACATTTCTTTCTTGTCTTTTTAATGACCTTTTACGTTCTTCACATGTGATCTGTGGCCACTAAGTGTTCAATGAGCCAAATCCATCCTTGAGATGGTCTCTAAATTCATGTGGGATATACTTAAGGTCTACTCTGGCTCTCATGGTCTTGTATTAATTTTCTTCAGCTTCAGTTTAACTTGTATGTGAGCAAAGGAGGATTACATGGATCATTTTTCAGTTCTGCAATACAGCCCAACTCATTAATAGTATTCCTTGAAGTACTGATAAGCATAAGAACAAAATGAAACTTATTCAGTGAGGGTACGGTAAGGTAGAATCCTTACTGAGTAGTTTCTCTCTTTACCCAGATGGATCTGGTGAAAGGGGGATGGGGAATGGTGGTGATAGGATTTTATGATTCAATTGTGAGTAAGTGTTAACAGAAGTGTGATCATCACAACTGTAATTGTAGAAGATGGATAACTAAGAGGGGGCAGTATTTAATCTTTCATTTCAGGACCAGATGATTCCAGGACCATCAAGAGGGAAGAGCATGAGATGCCTACCTAGAGAAGCAGCAACAGCAGAGGCAGTGGCAGAGGCAGTGGTGTGGAGAGACAGAGCAGTTGCGGGCTCTAGGCCTATGGCCTGAGAGGCTCTGTGCCTATGGGCAGGAGACTGGCTTGCAGACTATGCCCTTTGGATATTTAAATTAATATATATATTATGTTTTATAAGTTTAAAACAAATATTTTTGCTTTGTTCATTTGTGAAATATAAGATGTAATGGGGAGCCACAAGAGAGGAAGTAGGATAAATGATGTTGCACAGAGGGGTTCTAATAATTGAGATGAAACAAAGTGTATGATTTGTTGAATGTAAAGCTGATGATATTGTCTGTAAACCTTCACTCAACTACCAATAAAAAGTTAAAAAAAAAAAATCAATTCAGTTTCATAAACATACAGCACATGTGTACAAACTAACCTGGCGAAACACTTCATTGACAAAATTGACATAACCTCGTGTTGACAAGAGAATCCGCTGCACCATTTCATACACTGTTCGGTGCTCCTCTTCAACACTACAAAGGCTGGAGTTACTGAGTCTTCGGTCTGACAAAGTGCTGCTGTTCGAATGACTTTTGTCCTGCTCTGTGGGCACACCACTGTCCAGCTCCGGCACTCTCTCTGGCACTGCACCACCACCCACAGTCTGCAAGAAAATCATCACCATCTGAGTCAACTCTCAAGAAAATCTGGCAAAACTTAAGACTTGGCTATTTAAAAAAATGCACACTCCAGGACCAGTACTTACCAGTGTTCTAATTGACCCTAACTCCCGCCCAACTCAGTTATTTTAATAGGAAAACTAATAAATTATCAGAAAGGAGCTATGAAATCTTATTAACATGCTAAATGTTTATGGGACGAAGACTGGAATGTGTGCATATATGTGTGTGTGTATATGTATGTACGTGTATATATAAATATATATGACATAAATAAAACACCATTTTTGAAAATGGATTAAACAGGAAAGAAACTTGACACAGAGGAACTAAACAACACAATCAGCCAAAAGGACTTCATAGATGTGTACAGTGCATTCAACGAAACAAAAGCACAATACAAAATTCTTTTCTAGTTTGCATGGAACATTCTCCAGAATAGACCATGTGTTAGGCCACAAAAGAAGCCTCCATAAATTTACAAATATCAAAATACTACAAAGCATCTTCTAAGACTACAATGTTATCAAATTAAAATACAATCAAGTATAAGGAAATACCAAGGAAATATAGGCAAGTACATGGACACTGAATGAAAAGCAAGTGGATAGTAGAATAAATAAAACGTGAATTCACAAAGTTCCTATAAATAAATGAGAATGAAAACACAATATATCAAAATCTTTGGGACATGGAGAAAATGGTGCTAAGAGGGCAATTTATTGCAACAAATGCACACATCCAAAAAGATGAAAGAACCAAAATTAACACATTAACACAGCATGTACGACAATTAGAGCATAAATAAATGAGATCGGAAACAAAAAACTACAGAAAGAATGAACAAGACCAAGAAGCTGGTTCTTTGAAAGGATTAATAAAATTGGCAAACCTAACAAAAGAAAAGAGGAAGAAAACACAAATAACACGCCTTGAGAAACTACATGAGCAACGTCACAACAGAACCAAAGGAAATCAAAATGGTAACAACAGAATACTATGAAAGTTGTACTCCAACAAATTTGAAAACTTACAAGAGATGTATACATTTTTAGAAAAACACGACCTACATAAACTTACGCAGAGTGAAGTAGAAAACCTGAGCAGACCCATAACAAAATAAGAAATTGACCAGGTCATCAAAAAATTCCCAAGCAAGAAAACTCCAGTTTCAGATGGCTTCACTGGTGAGTTCTACCAAACATTCAGGGAAGAGTTGTCATCAATTCTACTCAAATTATTCCAGAAGATAGAAGAGGATGGAAAACTTCCTAAGACATTTTATGAAGCAAGCATAACCCTCACACCAAAACCAGTGAAAGACATCACTAAGAAAGAAAATTACACAGCAATATCTTCATGAACATAGATGCAAAAATTCTCAGAAAAATCCTAGCCAACAGATTCCGGCAGCACATCAAAAAAATAATACATCATGATCGAGTGAGATTCATATCAAGGATGCAAGGATGGTTCAACATTAGAAAAACAATCAACATAATCCAACATACAAATAAGAAAAGAGAAAAGTACCACATGATCATATTGATTCACGCAGAAAAGGCATCTGACAAAATCCAACATCCATTCCTGATAAAAACACTCAACAAACTATAAATTGAAGGGAAATTCCTCGACATAATTAAAAGCACATATACAAAACTAACAGCCTACATTGCTGTCAATGGAGAGAAACTGAAATCATTCCCTCTGCGAATGGGAACCAGACAAGGATGCCCTTTGTCACCACTCCTATTCAATATTGTTTTGGAAGTATTAGCCAGAGTTATACACCATGATAGAAAAATTAAAGGTATCCAAATTGGCAAAGAGGAAATAAAACTCTCACTATTTGCAGACAATATGATACTATACATAGAAAACCCCAAAGATTCAGTTAAAAAGCTACTAGACCTAATTGGAAGATTCTGCAAAGTGGTGTGGGGACAAAAGCTGAACAATGCAAAATGGGCACATTAATGTCCACCCAGGAGAAATGCTTTGTGATTTTCTCTCTCTCCCTCTGTGCCCCTCTAACATCTATTCCTGGCCCTGCATACTGAAACTCTGTGTTCCCAGGCATTGGCGTCTTAGCTATTAGTAAAAAGTAGGCAACATGGCACCTGAGTACTTTATGGCTTCCTCCCTGAATGACCTCTGGAGATAAAACATTCTGCATGCCACTCCCCAAACTCCATGAAATGTGAGTCTTACTCATAGTATGAAGAGACCCACAGTTCCCTATGGCGCAGAGTCTGCCACTAGAAACACCTGATATTTTCATCCTGGCTACTAAGTTTCCCTGTTTGTCTCTATTCCCGCTTTGTTTTTGTTTAGTTAGTTTTGTTTTGTGTAGACAAAAAAAGGCAGGAATATACAATTGTTTAAATAGCCAAGGGGCACATTCTGCAAGCCAGTCTCCTGGCAGCCAGCACACAGCCTTTCTCTTCCCATGAGTCTACAGTCCTCAGCTGCTCTATCACTCCATGCCATCACCTCTGCCTCCATCTCTCGTGTCACTGATTCTCTGGTTAAGCCAATATTTTCAACACAGAGAAATAGAAAGGAACGGAAGCCAGATACGGATGCCATTTTACACCACTATAAAAATAATTAGCACCAACCAACCCTCACAAAGAATTATCTACTGAATTGGGTTTGATCATTAATTGCAATGGGCACACAGAACTCAGACACATAGTCACAGGTGTTGTGTTTATTAGAGAAGTTAAGAGATTACGATGCTGGATCAGAAAATGCTCAGGGCACAGCTCCTTCAATCAGAAGAGTCTCTACTCAACTGTGCTTGCAGGTATGCCTCTCTCAGGTCCTTGGCATTTTGCCCTGGCTTCTGCCCTGCATAGCAATGCTACAAAGCTCTTCTAGGGCTGTTGATAAATGCCTAAAGCACACTCCACTCCTCTAATACAACTCACCCCAAAAGCTCTAAGTTCTAGCTCCTTAAAAGCCTGAAGGTTCCCTACTCCATGAATGAGCATCCCGGCCTATGGAGCAAATAAAACTGAATGCCTTTTTGCAAATGATACGATCATATACATAGAAAATCCCAAAAATTCCACAAGAAAGCTACTAAAACAAATAGGAAGATTCAGCAGTAGGAATATACAATATCAACATACAAATATCAGTTAGATTCCTCTACACCAACAAAGAGAATACTGAAAAGGATATCAGGATACCAATACCAATTACAATAGTTCCCCCAAACATAAAATACTTGGAATAAATCTAACCAGGGAAATAAAAGACCAATACAAAGAATAATATAAAACATCCCAGCAGGAACCCAAAAGAGACCTACATAAATGGAAAAAACCATGCTCATGGATAGGAAGTTAACATTGTGAAAATGTCAATACTTTACAACATAACCTAAAGATATAAAGCAATCCCAATACAAATACCAACAGCATTCCTTAACAAAATGGAAACACTAATGACCAACTTTATAAGGAAAAAATGTTGTTGTTGTTAAGCGCTGTTAGTTCTGACTCATAATGACCCTGGATAGGGTTTCTGAGGAGTGGTTGGTGAGTTTGAACCACTTAACCTTGCAGTTCAAACCAACCTTGAGATCAAGTGCTTATCCTATGGGCCCCAGATAAGTACAGCATTACTGAATAAAAGAACAAGTGGGAAGTCTCACACTACCCAATCTCAGAAAAGCCATAGTTGTTAATACAGCCTGGTACTGGTGCAATGACATACACATCGACCAATGGAACAAAATTCAGAACCCAGAATAAATCCATCTTTACCAAAAGATCAAAATCCATTAAGTGGGAAGGAGACAGTATCTAATGGTGCTTGCAAAATAGGCTGTGCATCTGCAGAAAAATTAAACACACTTCATACCATACACAAAAACTAACTCAACAGGGATCAAAGATCTGAGTAAAAAACTAAAACTATAAAGACCAAGGAAGAAAGACAGGAACAATGCTAGGAACTTTAATATATGGCATAAACAGAATCCCAAAGCATAATTAAAAATGCACAAATAGCAGAAGATGAACTAAAATTAAACCCTTAACACTTATAAAAAGATTTCTCAAAAGGGTAAAAACATTAACCTACAGAGTAGGAAAAATGTTTTTCAATGGCATAGCCAACAAGGGACCAATTTCAAAAATGTATGAAAAACTTCAACACCTCCACAACAAAAACTCAAACAATACAATTTAAACATGGGCAGACACTTCACTAAAGAAGACATTCAAGTAAGCTAACAAACAGATGAAAAATGAGCCTAAACATTAGCCATTGTTGTTGTTAAGGGCTACTGAGTCAGTTCCAACTCATAGCAACCCTGCACAGGGCTTCCAAGGAGCGTCTGGCTTGTTTGAACTGCCACCTTTTGGTTACCAGTCCAGTGCTTACCCTATCACGCCACACCAGGATTAGAATCATCAGTCATTAGAGAGATGCAAATCACATCAACAATGAGATATCATGTTACCACAGCCTTAACAGCAAAGTTCAGAAAACAACAAATCTAGTGAGGATGTGGAGATTGGAACTCTCATACACTGTTGGTAGGACTCTAAAATGGTACAAGCACCATAGAAAATGGCCTTCCATAAAAGTTAGAAACAGAGATATCATATGATCTAGCAATCCTACTACTCTGTGAATATTCTAGAGAAATAAGAATTATGACATGAATAGACATAGGTACAATCATGTTCATTACAGCACTATTCACAACAGCAATAAAATAGAAACAGAGAAGTATCCATCAACAAATGAACAGAGAAACAAACTATGGTATCTGCATAATGGAATACTATGCAATGTTAAAGAATAATAATGAATCTGCTAAACATCTCATAACAAGGATGAACCTAGAGGATATTACATTGAGTGAAATAGCTCAATCACAAGAGGACAAATGTTATATGAGATCATTATTATAAAAAGTCAAGAAAAGGTTTAAACAAAGCAGCTTACACATTCTTTGATAGCTGCCAAAGACAGAATGGGGAGGAAGGGTAAACTGCTAACTGAAGAGCTGTTAAGTGCTGTCAAGTCCAACCCATAATGACCCTGAGATCTCTTTCAATTTTTGCTCAGTGCTCTATTTCTTCAGAAAAACAATTATACTGTGTTCTGAGCAGCGGTCAATGGATTTTCAGTTAGCCTACTAAGTTATTTAATTGAAAAACTGAAGTTTTTATGAACTTTCTTTTATTGGTATGGTCATTGTATCTCCCTCAGGCATGCCCTCGAATTCTTCAGTCAATTCTATTTCAGTGGAGCCTCATGCTCTAGTCTCTTAGTCTAGTGTTTATCTAAGACACTGATTATCTTTAAGTGCACAGGCTACCTATCTGCCTCCTCAGGCTTGTACATTCTCCCATCTTAGACCTAGGTCATGCTTCTGGGACCTCCAGGGCACCAGCAAGCCAATGCTGTAAGTGACTACACTTCTGGTCTCTGATTTAGGGACAACAAAAATTCACACAAAGCCAAATCACGGGTCCTTAGGAACTGCTCTCTGACTTGCATAAGTGGTTGTTACTGTTGTTTTTGTTGTTAAGTGCCACTGAGTCAATTCTGACCCATAGTGACCCAGCATAGGGTTTCCAAGGAGAAGCTGGTGAGCTTGAACCACCAACCTTGCAGTTCAAACAAGTGGTAGTGCTCCCTAACAAACACAGAGTCCCTAGCAACTTGCCTGCTGTGAAAGTGCGCATTTGTGTCTGACAGAAGCCAAGCAGAGAGAAAGTTCTTCAGGCCCCACAAAAGAAGAGGCCTTACCAAAGTCTTAGGGCGAGGCAGCCTTCCTTCTAGAGCCATCCTCGTAAATCAAGAGCACCCCAAAACCCTTGAGCAGCTGATTCACTCTTTCCCTGAGATCTCAAAGGCCACTTGGAGGCCTCAAGGTTCCTGAGGGCCGTCCAGGTGATAGGTAACCATGACATACATTAGTGATCTTGAAGGCAACACAAGTATGTAACTGGTCTAATAATGTTCAAAGGTCATGAAGTAGTGAGAACAAGGGAGAAACATTTTCTCAGAATGTCTTCCTCAATCCCTAGACTGCTTCATCATGACGATTCAGCAGGAGCATACATAACAAGTACTTTCAATTCATAGCTTCCTCAGAAACCTCAGATTGGGTAGGGTGCACCAATAACAGTGAATCTCTAAAAACCATAAACCTGTATGAACCAATAACCCTAATTAATCATTACTTTGGTTATGTGTTACTGTGTTTGATTATCTTAAGTATTAAGAAATGAAAAGATGATGAATGACATACCTGGATGATTTTGGGCAATACATCAACTCCATTTTTAGTGTTTTGTGTTGAGGTTGAATACTTTTTTTCCAAAAAGAAAGTTACAATCCATTTAATAAAAACAACACGAGCTGCCATGTATGGAATTTTTGTACTGTAAATGTTTTCATTGTCCCGAACTGTAGTAATATACACTGGCTTTGGTCTCAAATGAGGGATGTCTGTCAGAGAAAACAACACATGATAGCATTATTGAATCTTAACATTATGTAACCCCCATATATGTTTCAATTAAATTGACTTATAGTTGATTGTTTAAGTAACAAAAAAGGCTAAATAACAAGAAATTATTAAAATTGGTATGTTTTGGTAGGCTCATTTATGATTCCATCTTGTTGTTGTCATTTATGATTCCATCTTGCTGTCAAGTCAGTTCTGACTCATAACCCTGTATAGGATTTCCAAGGAGTAGATGATGGATTTGAACCAGTACTTATCCTACAGCACCACACCAGGATTCCAACACCATGTGACATTCTAATCAAATAGAAGTGGCACAGCGGGTTAGGCAAAAGTCAGTGGTTTGAGGTCAATAGTGGCTCTATGGGAGAAGGATGAGGCACTCTGCTTCTTTAGAGATTTACTCTTGAAAACCCTATGAAGTAGTTCCATTCGGCCCTATAGGGAGAGTCACTATGAGGAGGAATCCACTCGATGGCAGGGTTTGGTTTGGGTGTTGGTTACTGTTATAGCAAGCCCTGATGACACCATGATTAAAAAGTTCAACCACTAGCCAAAAAGTTGGTGGTTCAAACTCACTAGCCTGCTCCACGGGAGAAAGATGTGCTTCTGGAAAGATTTCTGGAATTATAGATCCTTAGAAAGCCCATGGGTTTCTATTTTTGTCACTATTTTCTATTTTTGTCACAACTCGATGGCAGTGGATTTGGTTTTAGATTTTGATTGTTATTATTAACTAATAACCCTTTTTAACAACTTCAAAAAAATTATATGAGACTTCACCACTCTAAAGTATGATTCTGCCCTAGAAATCACTATTTCTTATTCAAAGATAAGTAAAAAAATATTGCTACAAGAGTTCTAGTTCATACATGGTGGTGGTGGTAGTGGGCCATGGAGTCAGTTGGGACTCATAGCGACCCTGCATAGGGTTTCCAAATCTGCAAATCTTTATGGGAAAAGAAAGCCTCATCTTTCTCCTGCTGGACAGATGGTAGTTTCCAACTGCTGACCTTGAGGTTAATAGCCTGACTCATAACCAGTATGCTACACATGGATTTAATCAAAACAAAATATGTTTAGACAAGTCTATGTGATCAATGGATGGTTGCAGACAAGTCTCTGAGTGATACACTCGACTTAGTCTCATTCCACTATCCAATGCCGTCAAGTCGATTACAACTCATAATGGCCTTATAAATATATATGGTTTTTGAGACCGTAAATCTTTAGGAGAGCAGACAACCTCATCATTCACTCACAGAGCAGCTGGTGGATTTGAACTGTCCTCATTGTGGTTAGCAGTCCAACATCTAACGCTTGGCGCTTTCAGAGCTCCATTTAGTCTTATTGTTGTTGTTCAATGCTGTCGTGTTGCTTCCGACTCATAGCATTTCCAAATAGGGTTTCTAAGGAGAAGTTGACAGGTTTGAACTGCCAGGTGTGCAGTTAGCAGTTCAATGATTATCCTGCAATACCACAGCAGGACTCCTTAGTCTCATTAGGGTACCATTAAAAAGAAAGGATGCTTTTTGTGTCATGGGGGCAAAAAAGATTTTGAGGTGAAGACTAATACAAAATTTCTAACAAGACTCAAGTATACATGTTCCCACTGAAGTTTTGCAGCAAGTTTATGGAAACGTTGTTGCACATAAAACAAACAGCTTTTTTTTTTAATGGATCAAATATTTATAAAAAGGTTGGTAAGAGTTTAAAGATGAATTCATGGCAGAGAGGTCAGCTCAGAAGGCTATGATGACTGCTCTTAGGGATTTCCAAGGAGGACTATTGATAGACTTTCTTAAAGGACAATCATTGGGTCTTATTATAAAGACATTTTAAGAAGACTGAAAACTGCATTGGTGAGAAAAAGATCAGGAAAGTTGTGCCAAGGACATTTTTTTTTCCATTATAATAATGTACACTGCTTATTCTTCAAGGGTAGCAAGGTCTGTCCTATGAGAATTTCACCAGGAGCATCCCCTTATCCACTCTACGTCCCTAACCTTGCCCCTTTAGACTTCTTTGAGTTCCTCAAACTCAGACTAAAGGAACATGATTTGAGTCACTCCAGGCTGCCAAAACTGCTGCTTCAATGTGGTGTAAACTGAAGAGCTCAGAATTCTTCAGGGAAGAGTTGCTATTTCTAGGTGTCTTTGAGTTAGTTCTGACTCATAGTGACCCATAAAGGGATTCTGAGGAGGGGCTGGTGAATTTGAACCACAGACATTGTGGTTAGCGGTCCAGTGGTTATCCTATAACGTCACACAAGTATATATACCTAGATGGACGACAGACACAGAAACAATCACCTAACATGTTGGTATTTTTATTTAATATAGGGGCCTATGATTATGTAGCAATACTTTTTGACTTACCCTCAAAGAAGAAAAATCTGAAGAGTTAGATAAGAAATTTCCTTTTATTTCCTACCCAACTTTGGTTTACTATCCTTAAGTTTGTTCAATTGTACAACCATTTCCCTCTGCATAAGCAGCTACAAGAAGGGGCTGCTGCATGTATACAAAAAGGGAATACTGTGAAGCTATATGCTCAGAGTTGGCCTGCTTTACCAATGACCAAGGTTTGGAGTCATATTACTGAACTACCCCTAAAAGAAGACTCTAGGAAATACATGTAGTTTAACATTAAAAGATAGTACATAGAATGACATCAAAAATACCATAATGCATTTCAAATTATTTCTGAGTATAGCAGCCACACACAGTCCACCCCCCAACCAATCTATTACTACAATGTGTATGCAAAATATTGCAAAAATCTTAGTCTGTACAAATAATTTAAATTACTTATTAGGAATAAGTAAAATCACAAATTACTTATTAGGAAACCTTAAATTTATTAAATAATCAAAGGTGTAGTGCTGTAGGATAAGTATTGGACTGCTAATCATAAGGTCGACACTTCAAGCCCACCAGTCGCTCCTTGGAAACCCTATATAAGGTGGCTATGAATTGGAACCAACTTGATAGCACTTAACAACAAAAACTAAGCACATATATAAATGATTCTTTTACTCTGAAAATAATCAAAGATCATCCTGAAGAAACAGTACACAGTTTCCTGTGGACAGCCTCTAGAGACAGCTCAATCACTACTTACCTAGTACAGGTTTGTAGATGTTTGTTAACTTAGTAAATGATGGAAATAAATGAGGAAGATAATATTTTCGAAACAAAGTAAAAAGAAACTTAAAACCAGTATCTTGATTCTCCTTATTCTTCCACTCCAAGCTCGCAGCCTTTGGATAATATATGGAAAAGAACATATGTATATTTTTATTTCAAATTAATATAAACTTAAATGAAATGCTGCTATATTATTAAAATTTCTGTCTAAAAAAAAAAAAAAACTTGAAAAATAATGACAGTCATGTAATATCATAGTATTTTACCAGAACTCAAAAAATGTCATGATTTTTTCCCCAAAAACAGCTCAACAGCAGACACCTCCCCACAGGAGCCAACAGGATAGGTGGGGTTACAAGAGAGACACTGTAACCCCACATCACCTATGAACTGCATAGAGAGAGCCTTAGAGAAGACCTGTCCCTAGTCTTTGATATTGTTTAGACCACAGAGCACAGAGCTCTTTCTCATGCTATAGTTCACCTAGAAAATCGTCATTGTTGTTTAGCTACTGAGGTAAAGGGACGAGGTACTTTGGCTGCCCCAGGGCAGCAAGGCTCTGCATCTGTAACTGGTCGGCAGCACTGCTGAGGTGTACCAAACGAGGAACTCTGCTCTGAAGACTGACCTCAGTAGAAAGGAGGGCAGGAGGGAGGGGAGTACAGGAGAGAGGAAAGGGCAGGCACATAAAATTCTACACACAATTTAGAAGGTCATGATCTGCACAATAACCTTTGCTCCCTATCAATACCTTTGTTCTTTAAAACAGGATACTATGAATTATGTAACTTATCCACAGCTCAGTAGTGATATCTCTGGAATAAGAACACAAGTCATTCAATATATTCAAATTCTAAATACTCTGCTAATTTCGTGGGACAAGTGGAATTCCTAACCACTAATGGACAGGTGGACGTTGAGATGAAAGGGCCTGAAAAGGCAAAATGAAGACCTTCTAAAAGACAAGAGAATATTTTGGTTGGCTTTTCCGGGTCTGGAGTCCTTGTGTTCCTGCTGTTGGCTCAAGGAAATGGGAGGAGATATGGGACAAGATTGCTCAGAAAGAATAAACAGTCAGAAAGGGTAGCCAAGGAAAAAATTCTAAGAGACAGTAGACAGAAAAACAGTCATCTGAAAAAACAGGGAAGATGTAAAAGAAAAGGAGAAAAGCCAGAAGAAAGCACCACAGGCGGAGAGAATCTCATGAAGGAAAGGTAGTGATTGACAGGCTACCTAAAAGTACACAGAACAGACACTAAAATGTCCTCGCTGGACTTAACCGCTTGAGCCTCTTCATGGCCTTGGGGCCTGTCATTTCATAGAGACAGTGAAGAAGGTAGGTTATAGTGGGTGTCAAAGGAACATTAGGTAAGAAACTAGACTTGGCTGAGATTACTATGCCAACAAACTTGATTATGAAGGGAAGAACAGAGACGGGATTATACTCAGAAAGAATGCAGGAACCAAGATGTGTTCAATGAAAGAAATAAATCAGTAGATTTTATTCTAACCATATTGAGGTTTAGAAATATCAGGGGGCTTTTTTTTTTTTTTTTTTTGGAAAACTTTCATTATCTTTTCATTCCATTTTTCTATGAGTTTCTTAAAGCCCCCTTATATAGATCAGGCAACTTAAATTGCATGTTAAAATCACAAATTACTCATTTTAGTTTTGCATTCATTTGGTAAACACAACAAATGAATACGTGTTCAAGATAAAAAAAATTTTAAAGGTAGAGTCAGGTCTTAAGAATGTCAAAGGAAAAATAAGTTGTGACCCACTCAACTAAAATATATACACTGCTTTCCACCCACATTCTCATTCTCCTTTTAAAGAGGAGAGAAAAGCTTATATGGCAGAACAGCATAATGAATGGGAGATACTGTGGTCATTCTGAAAAAGCAATCTGTCATAGGTCTCAGCAGCTGTTTCAAATCTTAGTCTCCTTGTAATTTAAGAAATAAGGAACAGAATTTTTTTAAGTGAAAGTTCTTCTGCTCTGCATTATTAAGGAAACTGCAAATGTTCATACTTCGTGATTACAAGACTTTTGATTCAATTCGCATTTGCACAATCATCTCATATTTTTTCTAATAAATAATACATAATGTTTAGGCAGTGATATTCACAAGATTTGAGTGAATTGAATGGATAGAGACATTTATAACATTCATACGAATGCATGTTATAAACTTGTGTTCAAATCTAAGATCCTCCTGTTGTAAATCGGGTTATATGGTAAAGTATAAAGATTAGGAAACATCATCAAATGGAATGTAATGGTTGCATCTTACAAACATAGTTGAGTTTTGTTTGCCAATTATATACTAAAACTTATCTATTTATGAACTCAAGATGACATTATTCATTTACTATTGAAAAACATTACTTCAATAATATTGTAGTGCAATGGCTAAGTATCTGAGCTTTGGAATGATAATGGGTTTAAATGTGAACTTTGATACTAGTCTCTCCATAATTCTGATGATATTATTTAACCATCAAACTTTAGTTTCTTTAGCGGTATGATGAAGCCAATAATGCTCTTTAGATGATTTTATGAAGATTAAATAAAATGACACATGCAGAATTCATATAAGTTCACTGATTCCTTTGTAATTCGGATCTGACATAATTCTAATACCTCATTTCTTCTTAAGTTTTCATTATTATTTCCTTATCAGTATCTTTGTAAATATAATTATTTTTGTCTTTGAGATTGGTAACATGAACAAATAATTTACTTCAACATTATATGTAATACAGTTCACCCTCCATGTAGTTGAAAATCCATGTATAACTTTTGACTCCCTAAAAACTTAGTAACAGCCCACTATTTACCAGAAACTTTACAGATAATATAGTCAATTAACACATTTTGTATGCAATATGTATTACATGTTGCAACCACATAAAAGTCACATTTTCAATATGAGATGAAAAGATACTCTGCAAAAAGTACAATGTTTTGGTGACTGTAGGTGGAGCTACAGTATGACTTAATTTCCTTTTCTTACATTTTTTTTCTTTATAATGTCTTTATACTGGGTTCATTTGTTTTTGAATGGTGGACAACTGCACCTACACACTTCAATCTATGGTAAATATTCATCAATTCACCTTTTTCTTGTAATGTTAGAGCTTTCTGCTACTACTTAGGAGCATTTCCAAAATCACTTATGGCATCCCGTATGGGGCCCATTGTATTGTACTAAATGTGATGGAAAACATTTGACAATCAAGAGAGATCATTTTTAAATTTACTGGAGAGACTAATTGCTGATGAAGAGATGATTAGCATCACAAGGTGTTTATATATATCACCAAGTAAGTGGAAACATGCAGTTCAAATGTGCTGTTCAAGCATCAGCTATACATAACAAATAATAAGATATAAAAACAAAAATAAGAATAAATGCTCCCCACAGCAAAAAAAATGAATATGTGATGTAAGCAGGTCTATGCTGGTGGTACAGCTAGAAAGTTATAAAGCTTCTGTCCAATCTCCCCATCGCTTCTGCCTACTCTTGATCTAACCAGTCAGCCTTTGAGCCTACTCCTCCCCCAACCTCTCTCATCAGCATAGAGGTCAGGGCAAGAGAAAAGTGAAACAGAGAAAAATAGAACAAACATACACAAAATATGCTTAGTCTTGACTGAAGCGATCTAACAATGGCACATCCTCTTTGTTTAATAAATTGATATCAAATGAAACCTACTGAGACTGCAACGATTACTGACCTACCTACAATTGTCTTCTTACCTGAATAACCATATACTTCAATAGTATCTGAAGAAAAAAGCACGTTTGGTCCTCAGTGATCTTTTCCCCTGACATGGCTGGTAAGAGTGGAGTGATTTCTTCTGGATATATCTTTGCTATAGGGTAGAAAACAATGAGAGTTCTTTCAGGAAAGTTGAATTTTACATTGAGTTTTAAAAACATATGCAATGGTCTGGATAAAAATCCACTTACCTATCCATCTATCCATATACCCACTACCTCCATCCACTCACACTGAATTCCATGCCAGTGTGCACAGAGGTCTTGGGAACACAATACAGGTGCCTATGATGCCTGCTCTCTCATTATCTCTCCACCTAACCATTCTTTTTTCTTTTAAATTCTGCTTTGGTTAGCCCAAGAACATATGCCAGTCACTGGGCAATCAGGTGATATGGAGCAATAAATCAACAGCCCTGAGAGTTTCCATGAAAATTCATAGGACACATACAGCTACCATTAACAGTTCCATGAAGTCATTATTGTCCTTCCACAAATGCTGCATGAAATATATACAACTAGCAAAATAAGATCCTGGGAGAGTAGATGAATGTCCACTTATAGAACAACAGTGATGATGACAATAGACAGCAGTTTAGGATGGTGAATTTAAATCTCATTAACAGCCACAAAAACACTCTAGAAATACAATGTGTTTATACCACCATCTGTCTCCTTCCCTTCAACTCCTGTTTCCACTACTCCAGTAAATTTATCCTGTCATGATTTCATATACAATAGTCTCCAATTCTTCCTATTCTAATGTCTGTAAGAATCTACTGTGAATATGAATAGGGACTAATTCCTCTTCAGACCCCATCTTTGAAATTACAATTTCTATTCAGGAGAATGACAAAGAATTCCTCAATGTAACTTCCACAGTAACTTCAGCATGTTAAGATCTATTAACAGTACTCACCATCAGCTACATTAGGGCTAGGATTGAGGAGTGTCTCCAGTGTACAGGGCCCTCTAGATGACATGACAGCTGGGAAACCAGGCACGAGGCAAGCAAAAATGAGCACCTGCTCTTCCGCACAGTTCGTCTGAAGTGCTTGAAGCCATAAAAGAAACAACCTGATTCCTTCACATCTTATCTAAAAATAAAATTCAAAGCGATGAAAATGAAACACATGTATTTGCAGAAATTCACTGCAATGAAGCATCAGCCTTAAGAAAGAAAAACTAGAGGATAAAGGTGCTGTTAAAACACCGACCAGATTCTTCACTTAGGGTCATGTGAGCAAAGATGCAGCAGTATAGCACACGGGCTACCTCGGTTCAAATGCAGGTACTGCCATGTTCTAGCTCTAACCTGTGGGAAACGAATTTCTTTGCCTCAGTCTCCACATCTGTAAAAAAGGCATTTACCACAAAGGGCAGTTATAAGGATTAAGTAAGTGAACATATGTAAAGAACTCAGAATCGTGCCTGGCTTACGAAAGTGTCATGAAAGTTGCTGCTGCTTGTTGGTGTTGTTAAGTGACATTGAGTCAGTTCCGACTCCAACTCTGTATAGGGTTTCTGAGATGTGACTGGTGGATTTGAACTGCTGACCTTGCAGTTCAAATTGACCTTGTCCAGTGCTTATCTTACGGAACTATACCAGGATTTCATCATGAAAGCATTGATTATTAATATTTTTTTCCATAAGTCAACAGTGCCTTTATCATCAACACTCGATTATCCATGAAAATGATGACAAAGATAATGTTTCTTCAAAATTTCACTTTGCTTTGGATGGAATTTCTGTCATCTCACTGAAATAAATACAGGCATAATCTTGAAAATCAGAACCAAAACCCAAGTAAGCTGTTATCAAGTTGATTCCAACTCACAGTAACCCATACAGATCCTATAAGACAGAGGAGAAATGCTCCATAGGGTTTCTGAGGCTGTAAATCTGTTCAGAACCAAATTGCCTCACCTTTCTCCTGTGGAGAAAGTGGGTTAGAACCACCAGGCCAAACATTTAACTTACTGAGCCTCCAGAAGCTAAATAAGGAAAAGCTTTGAAGACACAGTCAAAGGGATCAGAGCAATTCTCCAGCTTTCTTGTCTATGTCCCTACTATAGTCTCTCCAATGTCTTCGTCTTGCTCTGAAAGCTCAGTACCATCTGTTGGAAAACATCGCTAGAGGCTGCAGTTGTTATTTTGTCCGGTGCCGTTGAGTAAAATCCAACTCATAGCAACCCTGTATAGGGTTTCAGAGGAGCGGCTGGTGATTTTGAACCACCGACTTTGGGATTCAAATGAACTTGCAGTCCAGAGCTTAAAATACAGTGCCACACCAAGACTAGATGAGTCCTTTACCTCCTCTACATATACTTACTCACACTATGCCTAGAATTCAAAAATACTGCTGCCACCATTTACATAGTCCTAAATGGCTAAGTCTTGGTGTGGCACTATAGAACAAAGCGCAGGACTGAGAACTCAATTTGAAACCCTATACAGGGTAGCTATGAGTTGGAACCGACTTGACAGCACTTAACAACAACAAAATGACTATGAAGATGATGGCCAAAAAAAAAAGTTAAATGAGCAAAAGAGATTAAAATGTCAGCTGCAGCTGAAAGATTAGTGAGTCCAAATGCAGAACACAGAAATGACTGCTATCCCCAGCCATCTTGTAAATTAAAACAAGGTTGTGCTTGTTTTAAACAAGAGCAAGGGTATTGCAAGTCAAACATGAAGCTCTATAGAACAGTTACAAGGAGGAGAAGAGTGAAGAAAGAAAACTGAGCTTGGATGACTCACAACAGAAATCAAATACACCAAGACAGACACTGATTTGGAGAGTGCTGCACTCATTAACTGTGGTGATTTCATAGCACACTTGCAGACAGACCAAGAGTTAGTACTCTACACAAACTCCCCTACTCTCTTTAAGCAGGTAAAATGAATGGTAATATTGCTAAATGCAGAATACTATCCAGCTGTCGATACAAAAACAATACAGATGTTGGTGTTATTTAGTGCCATCGAATCAGTTCTGACTCATAGTGACCTTGTATACGGTTTTCAAGGAGCAGCTGGTAAGATTGAATCACTGACCTTGTTTTCGACACCGACCTTGCAGTCTAGTATTTTATCCTATATTACCACACCAGGACTCCAACCTCTACACATACTTATTCTAATTATGTTGAATTTACTGAACTCCTGGTGCATCGCTGTAGGGTGATCCCTAGACTGTGAACCACCAGGTCAATGGTTCAAACCCACCAGCTGCTCCTCAGAAAACCAGTACAGGGTCACTATAAGTTGGAATCCATTCAACAGTACTTAACAAGAACAAATACTGAATTTAACAAGAAGAAAGTTTCTCTATTAAAAGTCAGCAGTTTTTTATGATAACTTTTTATGATGTGGCGCTATAGGATCAAAACTAGACTGCATACTATAAAGTCAGCAGTTCAAACCCACCAGCTGCTCCTCAGAAACCCTATGCAGGGTCACTATGATTCAGAACTGACTTGAAAGCACTTAACAACAACAATTGACAAAGGATAATCTTTGGACTGCTAACCACAAGGTTGGTGGTTCAAACCCACCAGCCACTTCTTAGAAACAAGGTGGTGATGAGTCAGAACCAATTCAACAGCACTTAACAACAACAGTATAATAAACATGTGTAGTGGTTACGAATCGGGCTCTGGTAGCGTAGTGGTTACAAATCGGGCTGCGAACCTTAAGGTCAGCGGTTCGAAACTACCAGCCGCTCTGTGGGAGAAAGATGAGGCTTTCTACTCCCGTAAGGATTTACACCCTCGGAAACCCTGTACAGGGTCGCTATGGGTCGGAATCGACTCAATGGCACATAACAACAACAACAACTTGATAGAATTTAACTATAAGATTATTCTATTAAAATAACAAGTATAAAATATGAGTCTAAGAATTGTTCTTTTTTCAACATGTAAAAGACAGTTAATTGAATAGTAGCCAAACTGTCTGGGTGGGGCTAATGAAAGGATAGGGATAGGTCTCTTGTGGTACAAAGTGAATAATTGTTATCAGGACTGCTTGTGAGGGTTGGAAATGTAAAGGTAGACGTTTTGTAGCAAAAGGAGGAGAGTGATGGACTTTGCAGTCCAGGCATGGAGGTCCCTGGGACCATCAAGGGAGAAGAGTGGAGTGTGGGACCCTACCCAGAGAAGTGCTGATGCCAGAGATGGAGGCAGAGACGATGACGTGGAGAGATGGAGCAGCTGGGAACTCTAGACCCAGAGAGGAAGAGGGGCTGTGTGCTGACGGCCGGGGAACAGGCTGGCAGGATATACCCTTTGGTTGGTTGATGGCGCATGGAGGGGATGGTAACCATGGCAATGAAATGATATACGAGAGGATGAATATAAAACTAATGTTCTCCCATGTAAACTATAACATAATTCACAATAAAACATTAAAAAACAAGATAGCTAACAATTCAAATTTAAATGGCTACGATTGTCTAAATTATATAAATTTAAAATACACTGGATTATGAAAAAGACATACAAAATAAGCTACAAGTGAATTATTTTCCTCTGTCACTTATATTTTTGTGTCATCTCACGCCTTTATCCATGCAGCGGCTGGTAGGTTTTAACTGGCAACCTTGTGGTTACTAGTCTAGTGCTTATCGAATAGCACCACAACAGGACTTAACTGTGGTGGTTTTGGTTACATGCTGTTGAGCCAGTTCTGAGCTGTTATGTGCTATTGAGTACAGGGTTTCCGAGGCTGTAAATTTTAACAGGAGCAGAAAGCCTCATCTTTGTCCCTTGGAAAAGCTGATAGTTTTGAACTACTGACCCTGAAGTTAGCAATCCAATTTGTAACCACTACACTACCAGATTGTGGAACAGACCATCAATTACTCATATGCAAATTCAAATTGAAGCTGAAGAAAATGAAAACAAGTCCACAAGAGCCAAAATATGACTTTTAATATAGCCCACCTGAATTTAGAGATCATGTGAAGAACATTTGATACATTAAACACTAAAGACCAGAAGAGTTGTGGGATAACATCAAGAACATCATACAGGAAGAAAGCAAAAAGTCATTAAGAAGACAAGAAACAAAAGATCAGAATGGATGTCAGAAGAGACACCAAAACTTGCTCTCCAGCGTAGAGATGCTAAAGCAAATGGAAGAAATAAGGAGGTACAAGAGCTGAACAGAAAATTTCAAAAGTCAGCTCGAGAAGACAAAGTCAAATATTAAAACAAAATGTGCACAGATTTTGAGTCAGAAAACCAAAAAGGAAGAACATACTCAGCATTTCTCAAGCTAGGGGAACTGAAGAAAAAATTCAAGCCTCGACTTTCATTACTTAAGGATTCTCTGGGCAAATTATTGAATTTTGCAGAAAGCACCAAAAGAAGATGGAAGGGTAATGACGCGCTTCCTGCTTTCCCAGCACTCACAGACCATGCACTTGTGCTCATCCTCCTCTCTTGTTCTGGACCAGAAGCCAGCAGCAATAGCAGCAGCTGAAGCAGCTGTGGGAGCAGAGTGGTAGCCAGGCGCATTGAGAGACCCTGGCTGCACTCTGGGACAGACATGCTGCAATGAGACAGCAAATGCATCCCCCATGTGCTGCTGCAGGGAAGCATCTGGACTTGGTTCCTAGCCCCCTGAATGCTAGCTGCCCACTAAAGCAACATGTGGAAAAGCCTACCTGGCAAGGAACTGAGGCCTCTTACTAAGCAATCATGTGGGTGCGCCATCTTAGAAGTGGATCTTGCAGCTCCAATCAAAACCTTCGGATAATTGCAAACTGAATGCAGCTACATCAGAGACTCTGAGCTCAAACCACCCAGCTAAGCCACTGATATTCCTGAATCATGGTGTTCATGAGATAATAAATGCTTGTCTTTGTTGTTGTTTTGTTAATTTTACACAACAAATGTAATAGTTAGCCTTTTAAAAACATATTTAAGTACACATTATTTTTAAGTGTGCAGTTCAGTGTTGTAAAATCTTCTACACTATTTCTGAGTTTTTCATCATCCCAAACAGAAACTCAGTACCTATTAAGTAATAATTCCCCATTCATTTCCTTCTCCCCTGCCCTTGATAACCACTGATAAACTTTTGTTTCTCTGCATGTTCCTCTTCTGAATAATTTATATAAGTAGGATTATGCAATATTTGTTTTTTTATGACTGACTTCTGTTATTCAGCAGAATGTTTTTAAGGTTCTTCTATGTTGTAAGCTAAAGCCAGATTCAGAAGAGGCTGTGGAACAAGGGATATCATTGCTAATGTCCAATGAATCTTGGCTGAAAGCAGAGAATATCAGAAAGATGTTTACCTGTGATTTATTGACTATGCAAAGGCTTTCAATTGTGTGGATCATGACAAGCTATGGAAAACATTGCGAAGTATTCTGGAACACTTAATTTTGCTAAGGAATCTGTACCTAGACCAAGACGTAGTTGTTCCAACAGAACATAGAAACACTGAATGGTCTAAACTTTAAAAAGGTGTGTGACAAGGTTGTATTCTTTCACCATACTTATTCAAACTGTATGCTAAGCAAATAATCCAAGAAACTGGGTTATATGAAGAAAAACATGGCATCAAGATTGGAGGAAGACTCCATGGTACCTGTCATGATAAAATACAAATTGGTTCTCACAATTGTCAAAACTAATTCAAAGACAACTGCAATTTTAACCAATCACTTAGGTGGACAGAATCAGGCATGCTGAAGCTTACAGAGGAAACTTGCCCAACCCTTTCCTGTTTCATATAATAAAACTGGAGCAGTTAGTTACTGGCCCAAGTCCCCTAAACAGCTGAGCCAGAATTAGAACTCAGGCTCAAGTCTCTGAATCCCCATTCACTTTCACCCAATATAAAAAATTTCTACCATAATGTTGTTGTTGTTAAGTGCCATTGAGTTGATTCTTCTGCCGTAAGTTGATATACTGTGACATAGGAACAAAAGTCTTAGCAATATTTATCATATATTACCAATTAAAAATTAAGAGACTTAAAATATTTTTTTAAGAATGGCATGATTTTGTCACTTCATGACATTAATTTAAGAGTAATGTAAAACGTCATTAAAATTTCATCTAAAATAAATACCTTAATAGAATTTCCAGTATGTAGAAGCTTCTTTAAAGTTGAGCCTAAAAGTTTAAAACAATGAATTAGAAATGAAACATATTAGAAAAACTATATATATTCTTTTATCTATATATCTATATATTTAAATAAACAGAAAAAGGTTGGCCTCTAGAAGAACCGTAATATCATCATGGAAGAGGCATGTTTAAGATCAAAGTGTTTTATGTACCTCTTCAAAACTCTTTTAAAAGTCATTATGATTGATATCATGATAACCTAAACACCCATGGTAGGTTATGTGCAAACATCTCACCTATAGTAGATTACGAGCAAATACCTCGGAATGCATAAAATGAATGCTTAAGAATATCTCTAAAAGTGAAAATAATAGTAAACCACTATTCACAAACCATTTTTACAAGAATGTTTTACAAATATTCAAAAAGCTATCTTTCTCCTTCGGCAAAGACATTTACAAGGCTCAGTACACCAGTAAATCCTCTAGAGGAGAGCTCTGGTCCCTACCACAGAGGGGAAACAAGATTTATTCAGAACTAGCTCTGGTAGCGTAGCGGTTATGAATCAGGCTGCGAACCTCAAGGTCAGCAGTTCAAAACTACCAGCTGTTCTGCGGGAGAAAGATGAGGCTTTCTGCTCCCGTAAAGATTTACAGCCTTGGAAACCCTGTACAGGGTCACTATGAATCGAAACTGACTCCTTGGCACATAACAACAACAACAACTGTCTTCTGAATACCTCTGGCATAATCGCTCTTAGGAGGATAAAAACATATTACCTAATATCTTATAAGGCCCTGGTATGGCACCATAGGAGTCCTGGTGTGGCGCTATAGGTTAATGCACCAGACTGCAAAGCCGTTTGAACCACAAGGTCGGCAGTTCAAGCTCACCAGCTTCTCCTAGGAAACCCTATACAGGGTCACTATGGGTCAGAACCAACTTGACAGCACTTAACAACAATGGCGCCATAGGATAAACACTGGACTGGGTAACTACAAGGTTGGCAGTTCAAACCTACCAGCTGTTCATGGAATCCCTTTACAGGGCCACTGTGAGTAAGAACCAATTCGATAGCACATAAAAACAACAGTGTACTATAAATATGTTCACTCCTTCAATATGGAGATAGCCTGGAAATTTCCACCTAAATAATCCCACCTAAATACCAAATGGAAAGAATCCTGGTAGTGTAATGGGTTAGGCATTGGACTGTTAACTGCAAAGTTGGTGGTTCAAACCCATCAGCCACTTGGAGGGGAAAAGATGGGATAACTCTGCTCCTGTAAAGATTTACAGTCTCAGACAACCTTACTGAGCAGTTTACTCTGCCCTATAGGGTGACTGTGACTCGGAATCCACTAGATAGCAATGGAGTTGTTGTTGTTGTCAGGTGCCATCGAGTCAGAACCGACTCATAGCGACCCCATGCACAGCAGAACAAAACAATGTCCGATCCTGGGCCAACCTC